TCAGACCCAGTGCTTACATGTGGCAAGACGCTCCTCGGGGCGCGTCTTGCTGGGGCTTCTCTCCTGGAGGCGTTCAGTCAGACCGAGTGCTGACATGTGGCAAGACGCTCCTCGGGGCGCGTCTTGCTTGGGCTTCTCTCCTGGAGGCCCTCAGTCAGACCCATTGTTGACATGTGGCAAGACGCTCCTCGGGGCGCGTCTTGCTTGGGCCTCTCTCCTGGAGGCGCTCAGTCAGACCGAGTGCTAACATGTGGCAAGACGCTCCTCGGGGCGCGTCTTGCTTGGGCTTCTCTCCTGGAGGCCCTCAGTCAGACCCATTGTTTACATGTGGCAAGACGCTCCTCGGGGCGCATCTTGCTTGGGCCTCTCTCCTGGAGTTCCTCTGTCAGCCCCAGTGTTGACATGTGTCAAGACGCTCCTCGGGGTGCGTCTTGCTTGGGCCTCTCTCCTGGAGGCGCTCAGTCAGACCGAGTGCTGACATGTGGCAAGACGCTCCTCGGGGCGCGTCTTGCTTGGGCTTCTCTCCTGGAGGCCCTCAGTCAGACCCATTGTTGACATGTGGCAAGACACTCCTCGGGACGCGTCTTGCTTGGGCTTCTCTCCTGGAGGCCCTCAGTCAGACTCATTGTTGACATGTGGCAAGACACTCCTCGGGACGCGTCTTGCTTGGGCCTCTCTCCTGGAGGCGCTCAGTCAGACCGAGTGCTGACATAAGGCAAGACGCTCCTCGGGGCGCGTCTTGCTGGGGCTTCTCTCCTGGAGGCGTTCAGTCAGACCGAGTGCTGACATGTGGCAAGACACTCCTCGGGACGCGTCTTGCTTGGGCTTCTCTCCTGGAGGCCCTCAGTCAGACTCATTGTTGACATGTGGCAAGACGCTCCTCGGGGCGCGTCTTGCTTGGGCCTCTCTCCTGGAGGCCCTCAGTCAGACTCATTGTTGACATGTGGCAAGACGCTCCTCGGGGCGCGTCTTGCTGGGGCTTCTCTCCTGGAGGCGTTCAGTCAGACCGAGTGCTGACATGTGGCAAGACACTCCTCGGGACGCGTCTTGCTTGGGCTTCTCTCCTGGAGGCCCTCAGTCAGACTCATTGTTGACATGTGGCAAGACGCTCCTCGGGGCGCGTCTTGCTTGGGCCTCTCTCCTGGAGGCGCTCAGTCAGACCCAGTGGTGACATGTGGCAAGACGCTCCTCGGGGCGCGTCTTGCTTGGGCCTCTCTCCTGGAGACGCTCAGTCAGACCCAGTGTTGACACGTGACAAGACGCTCCTCGGGGCGCGTCTTGCTTGGGCTTCTCTCATGGAGGTCCTCAGTCAGGCCCATTGTTGATATGTGGCAAGACGCTCCTCGGGGCGCGTCTTGCTTGGGCCTCTCTCCTGGAGGCGCTCAGTCAGACCGAGAGCTGACATGTGGCAAGACGCTCCTCGGGGCGCGTCTTGCTTGGGCTTCTCTCATGGAGGCCCTCAGTCAGACCCATTGTTGATATGTGGCAAGACGCTCCTCGGGGCGAGTCTTGCTTGGGCCTCTCTCCTGGAGGTGCTCAGTCAGACCCAGTGTTGACATGGTGCAAGACGCTCCTCGGGGCGCGTCTTGCTTGGGCTTCTCTCTTGGAGGCCCTCAGTCAGACCCATTGTTGACATGTGGCAAGACGCTCCTCGGGGCGCATCTTGCTTGGGCCTCTCTCCTGGAGGCCCTCTGTCAGCCCCAGTGTTGACATGTGTCAAGACGCTCCTCGGGGTGCGTCTTGCTTGGGCCTCTCTCCTGGAGTCGCTCAGTCAGACCGAGTGCTGACATGTGGCAAGATGCTCCTCGGGGCGCGTCTTGCTTGGGCTTCTCTCATGGAGGCCCTCAGTCAGACCCATTGTTGATATGTGGCAAGACGCTCCTCGGGGCGAGTCTTGCTTGGGCCTCTCTCCTGGAGGTGCTCAGTCAGACCCAGTGTTGACATGGTGCAAGACTCTCCTCGGGGCGCGTCTTGCTTGAGCTTCTCTCTTGGAGGCCCTCAGTCAGACCCATTGTTTACATGTGGCAAGACGCTCCTCGGGGCGCATCTTGCTTGGGCCTCTCTCCTGGAGGCCCTCTGTCAGCCCCAGTGTTGACATGTGTCAAGACGCTCCCCGGGGTGCGTCTTGCTTGGGCCTCTCTCCTGGAGTCGCTCAGTCAGACCGAGTGCTGACATGTGGCAAGACGCTCCTCGGGGCGCGTCTTGCTTGGGCTTCTCTCCTGGAGGCCCTCAGTCAGACCCATTGTTGACATGTGGCAAGACGCTCCGCGGGGCGCGTCTTGCTTGGGCCTCTCTCCTGGAGGCGCTCAGTCAGACCGAGTGCTGACATAAGGCAAGACGCTCCTCGGGGCGCGTCTTGCTGGGGCCTCTCTCCTGGAGGCGCTCAGTCAGACCCAGTGCTTACATGTGGCAAGACGCTCCTCGGGGCGTGTCTTGCTGGGGCTTCTCTCCTGGAGGCGTTCAGTCAGACCGAGTGCTGACATGTGGCAACACGCTCCTCGGGGCGCGTCTTGCTTGGGCTTCTCTCCTGGAGGCGTTCAGTCAGACCGAGTGCTGACATGTGGTAAGACGCTCCTCGGGGTGCGTCTTGCTGGGGCTTCTCTCCTGGAGGCGCTCAGTCAGACCCAGTGCTTACATGTGGCAAGACGCTCCTCGGGGCGCGTCTTGCTTGGGCCTCTCTCCTGGAGGCGCTCAGTCAGACCCAGTGCTTACATGTGGCAAGACGCTCCTCGGGGCGCATCTTGCTGGGGCTTCTCTCCTGGAGGCGCTCAGTCAGACCCAGTGCTTACATGTGGCAAGACGCTCCTCGGGGCGCGTCTTGTTGGGGCTTCTCTCCTGGAGGCGTTCAGTCAGACCGAGTGCTGACATGTGGCAAGACGCTCCTCGGGACGCGTCTTGCTTGGGCTTCTCTCCTGGAGGCCCTCAGTCAGACCCATTGTTCACATGTGGCAAGACGCTCCTCGGGACGCGTCTTGCTTGGGCCTCTCTCCTGGAGGCGCTCAGTCAGACCCAGTGGTGACATGTGGCAAGACGCTCCTCGGGGCGCGTCTTGCTTGGGCCTCTCTCCTGGAGGCGCTCAGTCAGACCCATTGTTGACATGTGGCAAGACGCTCCTCGGGGCGCGTCTTGCTTGGGCTTCTCTCCTGGAGGCCCTCAGTCAGACCCATTGTTGACATGTGGCAAGACGCTCCTCGGGGCGCGTCTTGCTTGGGCCTCTCTCCTGGAGGCGCTCAGTCAGACCGAGTGCTGACATAAGGCAAGACGCTCCTCGGGGCGCGTCTTGCTGGGGCCTCTCTCCTGGAGGCGCTCAGTCAGACCCAGTGCTTACATGTGGCAAGACGCTCCTCGGGGCGCGTCTTGCTTGGGCCTCTCTCCTGGAGGCGCTCAGTCAGACCGAGTGCTGACATGTGGCAAGACGCTCCTCGGGGCGCGTCTTGCTTGGGCTTCTCTCCTGGAGGCCCTCAGTCAGACCCATTGTTTACATGTGGCAAGACGCTCCTCGGGGCGCATCTTGCTTGGGCCTCTCTCCTGGAGTTCCTCTGTCAGCCCCAGTGTTGACATGTGTCAAGACGCTCCTCGGGGTGCGTCTTGCTTGGGCCTCTCTCCTGGAGGCGCTCAGTCAGACCGAGTGCAGACATGTGGCAAGACGCTCCTCGGGGCGCGTCTTGCTTGGGCTTCTCTCCTGGAGGCCCTCAGTCAGACCCATTGTTGACATGTGGCAAGACACTCCTCGGGACGCGTCTTGCTTGGGCTTCTCTCCTGGAGGCCCTCAGTCAGACTCATTGTTGACATGTGGCAAGACACTCCTCGGGACGCGTCTTGCTTGGGCCTCTCTCCTGGAGGCGCTCAGTCAGACCGAGTGCTGACATAAGGCAAGACGCTCCTCGGGGCGCGTCTTGCTGGGGCGTCTCTCCTGGAGGCGCTCAGTCAGACCCAGTGCTTACATGTGGCAAGATGCTCCCCGGGGCGCGTCTTGCTGCGGCTTCTCTCCTGGAGGCGTTCAGTCAGACCGAGTGCTGACATGTGGCAAGACACTCCTCGGGACGCGTCTTGCTTGGGCTTCTCTCCTGGAGGCCCTCAGTCAGACTCATTGTTGACATGTGGCAAGACGCTCCTCGGGAAGCGTCTTGCTTGGGCCTCTCTCCTGGAGGCGCTCAGTCAGACCCAGTGGTGACATGTGGCAAGACGCTCCTCGGGGCGCGTCTTGCTTGGGCCTCTCTATGGAGACGCTCAGTCAGACCCAGTGTTGACACGTGACAAGACGCTCCTCGGGGCGCGTCTTGCTTGGGCTTCTCTCATGGAGGCCCTCAGTCAGACCCATTGTTGATATGTGGCAAGACGCTCCTCGGGGCGCGTCTTGCTTGGGCCTCTCTCCTGGAGGCGCTCAGTCAGACCGAGTGCTGACATGTGGCAAGACGCTCCTCGGGGCGCGTCTTGCTTGGGCTTCTCTCATGGAGGCCCTCAGTCAGACCCATTGTTGATGTTGAATAAAGATTTTCGATTCCTCCAGACCTGTCTTATTATATAATAGCAGTTCTGGATTACATCTCAAATCTGTATGTTAGTGAAACCAGGCTTCAGGGTTCAGCTAGAGGTCTGTGTGTGGTGATTTGACTCCTGATCTCATGCTGCCATAAATGATGTGTGTGTTTCAACTAATCTGCTATCCATGACAAATTTATGTTGTAGTTTAACCTTGTATCGACTTTTTATGGTGTAGCCAAGGATGTGATAAGAACTTCAGGGACACGTATAGAGATGTTCATGTTTGACTTCCTTTGATCTGAGCTGAAGAAGGAAGAAGGAGGAGGGAAGACCCCCGCCCATCTGGCTGATACCGGAGGGGGATGGGAGACGACCCAAGGCCGGAGAATGCTTCCGAGGCAGGGGTTGCCATGGAGACGGAAGGGGGGCTAGGAGGAGAGAGTTGAGGAGAAAAAAAGGGTGAGGGCTCCGGGGAGAGGGGTCTCGGTCCGGGGCTTTTTGGGTGTTGAAGAAGAGTTCGGAGGACAACTGTAACGGTTGAGTGATCTGACCCGCTGCGTCGGGAAATCTGGAATATTTTTACTTCATCATATAAAATAAAATATTTGCTCCTTCATATAAGGGGCTTTAAACGGAATCTCCAGCCTGGGGTCTCCAATCGTGTCGTGTAACAGCTGAAAGGTGAGGCGCTGGTTACTTTTTGATCCCGCTCCAAGAGGTTTACATTTAAACTTAAAGTCTTTAACCTGGGCATAGTATAAGCTGCAGGTGACTGAGTTGTGGTGAAGTTATAACAAGAGTCTTCCTTTGTGCTGCTAAAGTATGTTTGCCAGAGTCTAAATCTAGGTAAAGATGATCGCTGATTAGCTCACAGAGGTGTAAGCTCAGACTGGAGTCACGCTCACGCACAAATAGAATTACAAGTCAACCCTGAGACGTAGTGTTTATTAAAGAGTCAGCTAGTTTGGGAGGATGACTTGTAACATGGCGCCCAATAACGTGGGGCTGTGATTTCGCAGTTGAGTAGAAAACAACCTGTTGTGAGCTTAGAAAGTCCGGAACTGGGAAAATTGTCCGCAAGGGCGGACAATTTGTCCCTAAGGAGCCGGCTATATTGGCCGAAGGGGGCCGCTTAGGGAGCCTATGAGTTTAGATTCTGAAGTCCAGTAGCTGGAAGTGTGTTGGAACGCACTGGTCCGGTTGGATCGGTTCCGTAGAAGTGCGTTTCGCTCCACCAGGTGCACACGGCGCAAAGGGGTTTTGTGAGAACCTCTTAGCAGAATTCTCACACGCAGGAAAGTGAGTGGCCTCGTAAAAGATTCTCACAAAGTAGAATTAAATCGCAGGTTGCAATTCCTGACCTCGTGGACGTAATCCGGGGCAGAACAGCTAAGTTGATGCTGGTGTGTGTGCACGCACACCCTGCCTTTAAAGGACAACGATTTTGATGCGAGGTGATCTTTATGAGTAAAGGTACTCGTGTAACTGAGGGAAATTTAGGGATGGCTGCAGTGAGCGAATATGGCTCAGGGGAGGAAGAACGCGGGGAGAGAATGGCTGATACTGAGAGCTTGTGGGCTCGTGATGACCCAGCTAGAGTGCGAGCAATATTTTCTGACTATTCCAAGGTGTGTTTCGAGCCTCCAGCATCATTGGTGAATGCAATTAATGTGAACGGTACATCAGAAACTGGTGTTGCGCTGGCGATAAAGCGCAGGTATCCACAAAGTCATGATGCTATCATGGCTCAGAATCCTCCATTTACTATAGGCAATGTAATGACGTACAGACGGTCTGCGATCGAAGCTGGGGATGGGGTACGTGAAATATTACATATAGTAATTGATCCATGTGCACCGGGAACTCCTCATGATGTGCAAGTTGAGCGATTAACTAGATGGTATGACTGTGTGAGAGGAGCAAGTAACACGGGGCATGTGGCTACCTGTTTGCTGGGGACAGGAGAATTTGAACATACCATTAGAGCCTCACTGGAAGCATTAAAAGCTGTAATAAATGTGGACACTGACAATATTTGGACCGTGGTTCTGACCACGGAGAGTTTGTTTAGAGCAGCATGCCAAGAGCTGAACTTAAAGGAGTGGCGTCCATACAGAGCTGCGTCACATGCTCCGTTACAGCTGTATCCCGACCCACAACCCCCACCTGTCTATGGTGAAGTGGTAACACCAGCCAGATTTGAACCTGTGAATAAAGATTATAGAGATGGCATCTCTTCATCTGAAGAAAGTGGTAATGAGTCGGGAAACAGTTCTGAGAATGGATCAGATGACCCAGCCAGCGCTTGGGTGACGGACATATCAGCGCTAGAAGCGCAGTTAAAGCAAGGGACATATTCTTCTGGTCTCCCCTCCGGGTTGATCATGCTGGAGGAAGACTTGGGGGCTAGAACCCTCCCGGCACCTGAATGGGTCTTGTCTGTTCTTGTAAAACCAGGTACAAATCTCTGTCGGGTCCCTGCGCTGGCACCCATAAGGCGCCTGGCAGGGAGAAAAGCTGTTAAGAGCTGGGGACTCTATGAGCCTGCAGGTGGGACTCCGGTGTGGTTAGACCCAGGAGAGTCAGCCATGAGAGCTATTGTGGTCATTTCTAACGCTGTGGGCTCAACTCCCAGAAGTGAGTTAAAGCGCTGGCGGATACAAACGGAACGAGCTGTGCAGGCTGCAGACTTACGACCTTCTAGGGTGATTTTTTACCTGAGGAGTACAAAAGATGTGATGTTGCAAACTCATAACAGAGATGATATGGTGTATGCAGCTATAACCAGTCAGTGGGCTGGCAGAGTGTATGAGCCTGCTATCTGGCTACACAAAATGGAAACTGCAGCAAGGGCTCTTGCTGATAGGAAACAAGCAGACCTGGACAACCTCCCACGGAAGGAAGTGACATGGGCTGCTTCTCACACACCTGTGGGTGCGAGGTTTGGACCTCCTAATAGAAGTCCACATGACCATGCCAGGGCAGAACCTTCAGCACCAAGGCCATTAACCCCATCCGCGCCTGTTTGGGCCCCGATAGCGCATTCCACAGGAATGACACCTACTGGTATGAGTGGGCTTCAATACCATCGCCCCTCACCCATCTATTCTGGGGACAGCTCTCACCCATTATGTCACTCAAGTAGTGATGAGGAAGAGAGGAGGAAGACGTGGATTGGGCCTGAGGGGGGTGTTGAAGGCAGAGCATTGAAGAATAAGAGGAAAACTGTGCCAAAAGCACATGCTGCAAGATACAATCAAAATGACCCCCCTTTCTCTGGGCCGTGGTACCGTGGCTTCAGACCTCTCACTGAAGGGGATGGTGAGCCAGAGGTGTTAAATAATCTGCCTGGTTGGTACTCTGCAAGGGGGGAGGCGAATGTGATTAGACATGCCAAAACCAGTATGGATGTTAAACAACAACCAAACTGGACTGAACCTTTTAAGAATCAGTTCCTTAGCAGTGGCTATGATTTTTATCGAAGTGGCTGCATTCAAAGGGACTGTGACGTGGAAGCAGAACACAGAGCGGGCAGTAACCCCCACCCTTCCACTTCTCAGGAATGTGAAGGAGGGGTGCAAGTTAGACCCACCGTTGCAGATCAAACTCTGGTAGGAAGAGCCGGATGTCTCTCGGCCCTGGCCAGCCTTATGCCTGATAGGAAGATGGGAGAGCCGCAGACCCGTTACCTTACACGTTTGAGGCAGGCTGGCTTGACAAATGAGGATTTAGCAGATCCGAGCATGATTGATCTCCTGCGGCTGAAGCAGGGTGTGAGATTGCCAAGGGCAGAGATAATGGCTGAGTTAACCGTATCCCGGGTACCAGGACGTGACTTAGTGGACGAATCTATAGATCGTTTGGTGGAGGAAGTGAAGAGAAAATTGATACCTCTGAGGACGGCTATGTTGTCTGTGCAAGAGGAAGGAGCAACGGTCATACAACAGGAACGAATGTTAGCATCACTTCCTGACGCGGAGTCTCTCGCTGTTAAATGGAAAAGTTTGACAAAAAGTGAGCAGATTAGAAAAATGGATAATTGGGAACTCAAAAGACAGATGAGAGATCAGTCAAAAAACGCGAAACCCCCCCTGGAGACGAGATCAGACGGCCAGGGGGGAGCAGAATCGGCTCGCTCACAGAGGCGAGGGAGGGAGATGGAGAGTCAGGGAGGAGACCCATACAGAAGGGGTCTCAGGGAGAACGGACCGGGGGACCGACAACGCCCAGGTCCGCGGGGGTTACCGGCAGATTGGATTCCGGCAGACGAGTATGCAAAATTAACGCCGGAACAACGATCTGCTCATCGCCGTATGAGGGAGGAAAGGTCGAGGAGGCTCCCAGTGGAGTCTCAATCATCCCAAGTGAATACCCAAACTACAGATTCACCCTCGCCGAGGCAATAGATGCCATCACGAAGGTGGCACACGTAGAGTATCCTTGGCTGGTTTGTGTGTACAGAGGATTGAAATTCGTCATTGATACTGGAGCTAACATGTCTGGTTTGGAAGAAACGCATGATGCAATAGAGGTTAATGAGTTACGATCAGCACGTCTAGCAGATGGGTCAGATATCGATTTCCAACCCGTGTTCAATGACAAACTGCCCGCTCTATGCATGCCTGCGCCGAAAGATGCTAGTTGGTTGTGCATTTCAGACTTGGTGGAGCTTGTGCAAAATAATCTGTCTGATTTTACTCATCCAGCAAGCCTTGCGCCAGATCATGATTTTCGGGTGGTGGTGAGAGGAGCTGTGGTAGATGTGGATAAAGAAATGGACAGGATTGTTCAGGGAGCTTTGATTGATGATAAACAAAAAACCCTTCTCAGACACGAGCTAAAAACTATTAACTTTGCAAAAAATAAAAATGACTGTGGATTGTACAAAGGTGAGCCATATGTAATCAGAGCTACCCCTCCCCCGCGTGTACCTCAGTATCCAATAAGGAGGGGGATGGAGGATTTGAACGAGTTACTCGTTGACCTAACACGTCAGGGTGTTCTGGAAGAGGTGAAAGAGAGCCTCACAGTGACTCCTATCCAAATGGTGCCCAAACCGAACGGCAAATATCGGTTGGTACATGATTTGAGAGCGTTGAATGAACGAACTGTTCCAGACCTGAGATATAAAGTGAACCCTCAGAGGGCCCGGACGCAGGTGCGCCCTGGAAGATACAAAAGCAGTCTGGATTTGGCAAACGGATTCTGGTCGGTACCAATTTCTGTGGAATCCCAGAAGCTAACAGGTTTCCAGGTGGGAAATAAGACCTTTGTCTGGAAGAGACTGCCTCAGGGGTTCATCAATTCGGGAAATGTGTTTCAGTCGATCATAGAAGATGTGTTACAAGGAGAAGACGTCGTGATCTATATAGATGACATCTTGCTGACAAACGACGACCCTGAGCTTTTGCTCAGAGACTCTTTGCGTGTGATGAGGAAACTGAGTGAAGCAGGGTTTCTGATTGCCCTGGACAAGACTCAGCTGGTGACTCAGGACATAAAGTTTCTGGGCTATCAGTACACTCCTGAAGGGAAAGAGGTGGACGTGACAGTTTTTGAGAACATCACACTGCCAAAAACCCTGTTACAGCTTGAAGGGGTAGTGGGAAAGCTGGGTTTTTTTGTTGAAAATATACCACAGCTGTCAGAGAAAATGCAGTCCCTCCAAGCCTTAAAGCGAGGGCTCAGGAGCAGACTGGGGGGACGATTAATAACTAATGACCGTGCGCTTACATCAGAGGAGATTCAGAGAGTGAGAGAGGTCATTGAGTTTTGCAAAAACAATCATTGTGCTTTGGAGCACAGGGATACAGAGAAACCGCTCTGGATCAGAACGGATAAACGTGACGATGGGTTCACGGTGTATGCTGGAAATGATGGGTCTGAGCGCGCGGTTGCCATGTGGGATTCTACATGGAAAGGCCCAGAACGTGACAAGTTTCTCCCATGGGAGAGAGAACTTGCAGCTTGGCATAAATATTTGTTTCCCATCCTGTGGTTAGCTGATGGTCAACCTGTGTTACTGTACACGAGGGAACCAGAGCTTTGGAACTTCACATCCACTCACATGATTCCTGGCAAAGCCCTCACGTCCAGGAATGAGAAATGGGATGCGATGTTGCTTGACCCCACCATTTCACTGATCCCGGAGGGATCTGATGTGAAACCTAAGAAAAGAAAGGAGAGTGACCCTCCTAGGGACCCAGAGAAGGGCGTCACCTACTACACGGATGGGTCTAAGACCCAGGATGATGTTATGGCATTCTGGGCATGGATTAAATATGTAAATAACAAGAAGACCTCTCAGAGAAAAGGGAGGATTGCAGGTTCTGCTCAGAAAGCAGAGCTCACAGCTATTTTAGAAGCTATGGTACACCATGTGCGGACGCATGGGAAATCTCCTGCGCTGATCATCACTGACAGCGAATGGGTGTGTAAAGGGGTGAACAATGAACTCCCCACGTGGGAGAAGCATGGGATGACTAAGGGTCAGGCTGGAGGTCCTGTAAAATTCACAGACGAGTGGGCTTTGATCGCTAACTGTCTAAGAAAAGGTAACTTCCAGGTTCGACACCAGCCGGCTCACACACTGAGTGACACCTCCGCTGCCAGAGGAAATGCTGCGGTGGACAGGCTGGTGCAAGCAAGAATGGTGAGACTGGTTTTGCATGACAGTACAGAGTCTGATCACGACCTGGTGAAGAAGCTGCATGAAACTTTGGGGCACCCTGGTTTTCAGAGGCTGAAGAAGTGGTGCTTGCAGAATGCAGTTTGCATCCCCCATTTGGACTCTGTGCTGAGAGATGTTAAATCACACTGCGCTCTATGCTTAGAGCTGGGTAAACAACCCACAGAGAAAGTGGTTGGCGACCGTATTGGTCCAGAAGGCTTGACCTCTGTCTCTTGTGACATTGGAGAGCTGAAGAGAACGCAAAAGGGCAACAAGTATTTCCTGGTGGTCAAAGGGAACAGGGGGGAGAGCATAGGGGGTATGTTCCCTTTGCCCAATATGACAGCAGGAAGGATTGCAGATTGCCTAGCGAGAATAATGGTGTGTTATCCACAAATAAAAGCTATCAGGATGGATAATGCACCACATTTCAAAAATAAAGTTGTTCTGGAGCTACTGGAGAATGAAGGACTGATAATCCAGTGGTCCATCCCTTACAAGCCACACACGAATGGAGTGGCTGAGAGAGCAGTTCGCACCGTTAAAGAGGCGATAAAAACCTTGAACTTGAAGGAATGGGATTCTCCAGGTGCAGTTCTGGCTGTTAATAGGGCTCTATTAGAACAGCCTTTGAGACAAGAATCTGCTAAAGACACACCCTCTGTCTCTCCACAGGGAGAACAAGAGAGAAGCTTCCTGCATAAAAGACCCCAGGATGGAAAAGTTGAAAAGATTGAGGGGAACCAGGAAGGTAACACAATCAGATGTGCAACCCCTAACCAGAAAACAGTCTGGCTTGGAGACTGTAAAGAAGTGGGTCCCACTAAATGAAGGGGGAATTTCATCCCCAATATGGCTGCTGAGTGCATCAAGTTCAGGGGGGATTACATTAGGTAAAGTACGAGGGCAAAGTTGTGATGAGGAGTGCTTCAGCTGGTCAGTTTACAGACCGGGTACATGCGCAAACTGTGGCAATGAGGTTGCTGAGATAAGGTGGGAAGGCCCGAGATTTCTTAAAGACAAAGTTCTGAGAAAAAATCCTTCACCCACAAACGTTGTGGAATTACATGGTGTGATGAAAGTGGCGTGGTGTGGAGATTGTTGGATGAGTAAAGCAGGCAAAACAAGAATTGGTCGTCTGGATCATCATAGTGTTGATGAATCTAGAAAATGTTGTAGAGTGGACAAAGGAAGACTCTCCAGTTGTTCCAGTTCATGTGGGGTGCGAATTTACCCTGTGGTGTTGCTGGTTCCTGAGATGAGTCACCTGTCAGGCTTGACATGCTCCCAGGCATATTGGGAGAATTGCTTTAAAGAGATAGTGTGTACTAGAAAGGGAGGGAGTTTGAGTGAAACTTTCTCACCTTGGGGAAAGGTGCTGTGGGAAGCTACTGAACCACAGCTGTGTTGGAGAGACAGGCGAGGCAAGTTTCCTGTAACCACTGACGAGTGGGAAAGGAGACAGGTTCGTCATGAGACAACAGATAAGGATTGGTACACCTCAGCTACTGTAGCAACATGTAATGACTTGTCAATAACCAGAAGTCAGACGCAAGTATTAGTTAAAACAAAAAAAGGCTGGAAGAAGCTGGATGTCTGGAGAGACTCACTCAAGAAGAGTGATGGTGTTTTAATAGCAGTAAACTTGGAGTGGGATCGGCACGCGGAGACCCCCAGGCTATTTACAAGGGACACCGTGGCTGCGCCAAGGCCACAGGTGGATTAAGAAAAATGTGTATGATGAAGCTCTCTGCCTAATTCTCCTCGTCTCTACAGGCAGCAGAGATTCATGGATTCCTGCGGAGAGTGGGAGGAGGAGGAGCTAGATCGGCTCCTCACACGACCTCCTGATAAGACTTGCTGGGAGAGTTGGAGAGGAGGTATCTTATGTTGTATCGGCTTATTAATCTGTGTGGTAGCGATATCTTTTATCTCAATGCCTGTTTCACGAGTTGTAACACTCAAGACCACGGCTGTGGTTAAAGGGTGGGTTCACAAGCGACCAGGAACCCTAGACCTGCCTAGAGTGTCGTGCTTGACTCCTCATGAGGAGAACTTTAATGCCACTCAGTGGATGGAATATTGTAAGGCTGTTACACAGGGCTGTCCAATCCCTGATCCAGGCGAGGCCTGTAGCCCCACATCTACCGGCTGGCTGATGTGGTTAGAACAGCTCAATAATGTCACCGACAGCCATAACTCTACTTATGGGCTGTTAGGATGGGAGGAAGGAAAGCTTAAAGTGTGGGATTTCACAGTTGATGTACAGCCTGTGGAATGTATTACTAAAATCTACCATTTTGGGGTACTAACTGTCTGGGGAGAATATATAACTGGTTTTGATAAGGTTTCTGATTGCATGATATTCAGACTCCTTGCGTTCCCGAATGGAACTGCAGCTGGGAATGATAGCTGGGCAATAGAGGGGGGTTCCCTACCCCCCATGTCGCAGCTGATTGCTCCACAAGACGCAGACACGGCTGTGACCCCTCACTTGAGGAGGCAGACGCGTGCTGCTAAGGAACAGACGAAAGGCCACAGGCTTCCTAGTCCACAGAGTATTTGGTTGGACAGAACCAAAGCTTTTTCAGCTTACAAAATGATCCCTTTAGGAAAGGGAAAACAACTGTTACCCATGACATTGCATGTAACCCCAAGGGGAGTTAAATTAAACTTCATTCATGCTCCGCATGTGCTGAACAGGAGCTTGATAGATGGAATGACAGAATATTTTATGATCATCCCACGTCTGGCCTGGGACAAAGGAGAGGCGGATAGCGTGTGGAGATGTATTAAGAAATTAACTAGTGACCCAAAATACCCCAGAACATGGTGGAATAATTATATATGGGAGTTAATGTCCTTAGGTGGACATGTACGAGGTCCTTTTCCTGGTATGATTCCGAAAACGAGTCATGATGCATGGCTTGTGAATAGCACATCGAAGAGATGGGCTCTGAATGTGTCATATGAAATGTGGACGGAGGATGTTCATGGCTTAATGGGACATTTTGCCCCGAACGGGTTCGATAAGCCAGGGCGAGTGACAGAGTACGATGTCCTTTTTGGACAATGGTGGGCTACCAATCTGACAGAAGGGGTGTTAGAATGCAGGCCTAAAGAGAGACTCGGCTCTACAATCTTTTGGATGGCTAATTTACTGGCGTTGTTGAACCCAGCTACAGTCCCAACGATTAAAGATGTAAATGTGAAAAAAGGTGTAAATATGACTCCTCCGTTCGTGAGGATGGAGAAACATGGCAGTTTAATAGAACTGACTATGGTCCGATCACAAGGTCCGCATCTAGATGATTTGTACTCCACCCCAGCTTATTCAAAGTTTCGGTTTATGAATATGACATGGGGGCATTACACTGGAGAGCTGCGAGACTTGGAGTATGATTATGCGTATCGCGAACAAGCTTTACGATTCAGGGAAGCACATTGGGTGCGAAATTCTCTGTTAACCAGGTGGTGTAGGTCTGATGCGTGCTTCAGAACTTTGGCCCAGCCCGCTACGAAAATTGCTGTTAGAAATGGGAAAAATGTGTATAATCCTTATGAACTGGGCGGCTTTGTTGACCCTCACGGTTACCCCCACTGGTGGCACTCAAATTGGAGCAGCTACGTCGTCTGGGACTCAGAGAATTTCCCATCATTAGGAGTAGGATGGGGTTACTTTGCCAACTCGAAAGGCCCCAAGGCTTGTTTTTGTCAGGAGGACATAGATGCTGTTGAATACAGGAGCGACTTGGGTATATGGCCCTTTCAAGCATGGATTCCTGTTGGTGGGGGTCATTGGGAGCAGAACTGTTCTGGTTCCTTTCATTTTCCCAATCGGACAGGCACATGTTGGTTGAGTGAAAGAGCTAGGATGTCTGATTGGCAATTTGTCCAGAAGGGTTTTAAAATTATTGGCCAAGGATTAACCTTAGGTATCAGAGAGGCCGTTAAGGTGGTCGCCCAGGGAGCAATGGGTGTTGCCTCTCTGGTAATCTCTGAATTATGGGTTTACGCCAAGGTCCCTGTGATCGTAGGAGGGGTCCTGGTGATGTTATCTGTTTGTGTTAAACTCATGCATCTTTTGAAGTGTTTTGCCAGCTGCAGCAGGAGATCTGCTAATCAGCCCCAATGGCAGGAGGAAGGGCCTCCTGAGTCAATTAGATTGGGACCACGTGGACGCCGGGCACTCAGGAACAGAGCTGCACGCAGGTAGCATCTCCCTTGAAGAGAAAGTTCTCAAGGTATCATGGCCCGTGCAGAATCTCCACGTGAGGTATTTGAAGAAGCAGATGAGGATGTGCTGATTACCTCGGTAAGACTGTCTCTATTGGGTTAATCTTACCGGCGAGATATGCTAATATTAGATGCACAAGAGGCCTAACTGAGGACTCTTGGAATGTTGATGTGATAACTTCTGCTTAATGCATGATGAGAGAATGATTGGTTCATCCTGTTATCTGATCAGGATGGAAAGGCCCACTTATTCATTGTGGTTACTAATTTGCATGCTGTAACTTGTGTAATTCCTGCGGGAAGCAGTGAAGACCTGTGACATGGATTAGAGGTCTCTAGGATTTTTACATACCTATTAGTGGCATGTTTGATATCATTATATGAATGTGTTGTACTAACAGAATTAATGATGAAGAAGTGTCTGGCTGCATTTTGTGAGAAAGACCTGACCTCATGTTCACAGAGGATGGTAGGGTGCCGCTGACCCCTAGTGGGGTCATAAAGGTCATGCGTGACTGGTACCAGAACCAAGGTCTGTTTAGTGTCTCTGTGTGTGTTTTTAGGTTGATGAATCAGAGGATCTATTGCCTGGCCCAGACTCTCAGGAGATGCTGGTGCTGCCACCCAGTGGACAGAAGCCGCTGGTGAACAAGCGACGTCAGCCTGGGGTGATACCACCCAAGAGAGTTTCACTTTACGGGCTGGTGGATGGTAAACCTGTAAGGATAAACCCGAATGGACCGTGGAACGCACATGTTTGGGAACGTATTGTGTTGGTCTCTGATGGTACCAGTCATAAAGGGACTCGAGTGGCGAGGAGGGAGAAGATTCTTCAGAGAATTACACGCTCGACTCTAGTTAAGCATTTTGATTGTGTCAGGCGCGATGTGTCACGGGGCCAGACGCGCTTGCCCTGTGTACTCTCTCATTTCAGAGAAGGCGACGTCGATTGGTGTTGGATCAGTACACCCCACAACGACTACGTGCAGGAGGGCGAAGAGCCAAGGCGTGTGGTCAGGATGCAACCATCACCTGCTAAAGTGGACGTTCCGATGCAGGAAGTGAGCCCTCCGGAGTTCGATCTGCGTCGGCAGCTTCAGGCCGCTCCGTCTGTCCAGGCCATGGTGCCACCAGTGATGAATGCAATAAACCCACATGTTTACTTGTATCCAGGAAATTTGAATATGCAGTATTTCCCGCAGTTTATGCCGTTTAACGAAGCTTGGTTTCAAGGGGGGTGTTGAATAAAGATTTTCGATTCCTCCAGACCTGTCTTATTATATAATAGCAGTTCTGGATTACATCTCAAATCTGTATGTTAGTGAAACCAGGCTTCAGGGTTCAGCTAGAGGTCTGTGTGTGGTGATTTGACTCCTGATCTCATGCTGCCATAAATGATGTGTGTGTTTCAACTAATCTGCTATCCATGACAAATTTATGTTGTAGTTTAACCTTGTATCGACTTTTTATGGTGTAGCCAAGGATGTGATAAGAACTTCAGGGACACGTATAGAGATGTTCATGTTTGACTTCCTTTGATCTGAGCTGAAGAAGGAAGAAGGAGGAGGGAAGACCCCCGCCCATCTGGCTGATACCGGAGGGGGATGGGAGACGACCCAAGGCCGGAGAATGCTTCCGAGGCAGGGGTTGCCATGGAGACGGAAGGGGGGCTAGGAGGAGAGAGTTGAGGAGAAAAAAAGGGTGAGGGCTCCGGGGAGAGGGGTCTCGGTCCGGGGCTTTTTGGGTGTTGAAGAAGAGTTCGGAGGACAACTGTAACGGTTGAGTGATCTGACCCGCTGCGTCGGGAAATCTGGAATATTTTTACTTCATCATATAAAATAAAATATTTGCTCCTTCATATAAGGGGCTTTAAACGGAATCTCCAGCCTGGGGTCTCCAATCGTGTCGTGTAACAGCTGAAAGGTGAGGCGCTGGTTACTTTTTGATCCCGCTCCAAGAGGTTTACATTTAAACTTAAAGTCTTTAACCTGGGCATAGTATAAGCTGCAGGTGACTGAGTTGTGGTGAAGTTATAACAAGAGTCTTCCTTTGTGCTGCTAAAGTATGTTTGCCAGAGTCTAAATCTAGGTAAAGATGATCGCTGATTAGCTCACAGAGGTGTAAGCTCAGACTGGAGTCACGCTCACGCACAAATAGAATTACAAGTCAACCCTGAGACGTAGTGTTTATTAAAGAGTCAGCTAGTTTGGGAGGATGACTTGTAACAGTTGATATGTGGCAAGACGCTCCTCGGGGCGAGTCTTGCTTGGGCCTGTCTCCTGGAGGTGCTCAGTCAGACCCAGTGTTGACATGGTGCAAGACGCTCCTCGGGGCGCGTCTTGCTTGGGCTTCTCTCTTGGAGGCCCTCAGTCAGACCCATTGTTGACATGTGGCAAGACGCTCCTCGGGGCGCATCTTGCTTGGGCCTCTCTCCTGGAGGCCCTCTGTCAGCCCCAGTGTTGACATGTGTCAAGACGCTCCTCGGGGTGCTTCTTGCTTGGGCCTCTCTCCTGGAGTCGCTCAGTCAGACCGAGTGCTGACATGTGGCAAGATGCTCCTCGGGGCGCGTCTTGCTTGGGCTTCTCTCATGGAGGCCCTCAGTCAGACCCATTGTTGATATCTGGCAAGAAGCTCCTCGGGGCGAGTCTTGCTTGGGCCTCTCTCCTGGAGGTGCTCAGTCAGACCCAGTGTTGACATGGTGCAAGACGCTCCTCGGGGCGCGTCTTGCTTGGGCTTCTCTCTTGGAGGCCCTCAGTCAGACCCATTGTTTACATGTGGCAAGACGCTCCTCGGGGCGCATCTTAATTGGGCCTCTCTCCTGGAGGCCCTCTGTCAGCCCCAGTGTTGACATGTGTCAAGACGCTCCCCGGGGTGCGTCTTGCTTGGGCCACTCTCCTGGAGTCGCTCAGTCAGACCGAGTACTGACATGTGGCAAGACGCTCCTCGGGGCGCGTCTTGCTTGGGCTTCTCTCCTGGAGGCCCTCAGTCAGACCCATTGTTGACATGTGGCAAGACGCTCCGCGGGGCGCGTCTTGCTTGGGCCTCTCTCCTGGAGGCGCTCAGTCAGACCGAGTGCTGACATAAGGCAAGACGCTCCTCGGGGCGCGTCTTGCTGGGGCCTCTCTCCTGGAGGCGCTCAGTCAGACCCAGTGCTTACATGTGGCAAGACGCTCCTCTGGGCGTGTCTTGCTGGTGCTTCTCTCCTGGAGGCTTTCAGTCAGACCGAGTGCTGACATGTGGCAAGACGCTCCTCGGGGCGCGTCTTGCTTGGGCTTCTCTCCTGGAGGCGTTAAGTCAGACCGAGTGCTGACATGTGGTAAGACGCTCCTCGGGGCGCGTCTTGCTGGGGCTTCTCTCCTGGAGGCGCTCAGTCAGACCCAGTGCTTACATGTGGCAAGACGCTCCTCGGGGCGCGTCTTGCTTGGGCCTCTCTCCTGGAGGCGCTCAGTCAGACCCAGTGCTGACATGTGGCAAGACGCTCCTCGGGGCGCGTCTTGCTTGGGCCTCTCTCCTGGAGACGCTCAGTCAGACCCAGTGTTGACACGTGGCAAGACGCTCCTCGGGGCGCGTCTTACTTGGGCCTCTCTCCTGGAGGCGCTCAGTCAGACCCAGTGGTGACATGTGGCAAGACGCTCCTCGGGGCGCGTCTTGCTTGGGCTTCTCTCATGGAGGCCCTCAGTCAGACCCATTGCTGATATGTGGCAAGACGCTCCTCGGGGCGCGTCTTGCTTGGGCCTCTCTCCTGGAGGCGCTCAGTCAGACCGAGTGCTGACATGTGGCAAGACGCTCCTCGGGGCGCGTCTTGCTTGGGCTTCTCTCCTGGAGGCCCTCAGTCAGACCCATTGTTTACATGTGGCAAGACGCTCCTTTGGGCGCATCTTGCTTGGGCTTCTCTCCTGGAGGCCCTCAGTCAGACCCATTGTTGACATGTGGCAAGACGCTCCGCGGGGCGCGTCTTGCTTGGGCCTCTCTCCTGGAGGCGCTCAGTCAGACCGAGTGCTAACATAAGGCAAGACGCTCCTCGGGGCGCGTCTTGCTTGGGCCTCTCTCCTGGAGGCGCTCAGTCAGACCCAGTGGTGACATGTGACAAGACGCTCCTCGGGGCGCGTCTTGCTTGGGCTTCTCTCATGGAGGCCCTCAGTCAGATCCATTGTTGATATGTGGCAAGACGCTCCTCGGGGCGCGTCTTGCTTGGGCCTCTCTCCTGGAGGAGCTCAGTCAGACCGAGTGCTGACATGTGGCAAGACGCTCCTCGGGGCGCGTCTTGCTGGGGCTTCTCTCCTAGAGGCGTTCAGTCAGACCGAGTGCTGACATGTGGCAAGACGCTCCTCGGGGCGCGTCTTGCTTGGGCTTCTCTCCTGGAGGCCCTCAGTCAGACTCATTGTTGACATGTGGCAAGATGCTCCTCGGGGCGCGTCTTGCTTGGGGCCTCTCTCCTGGAGGCGCACAGTCAGACAGAGTGCTGACATGTGGCCAGACGCTCCTCGGGGCGCGTCTTGCTGGGGCCTCTCTCCTGGAGGCGCTCAGTCAGACCGAGTGCTGACATGTGGCAAGACGCTCCTCGGGGCGCGTCTTGCTTGGGCTTCTCTCCTGGAGGCCCTCAGTCAGACCCATTGTTTACATGTGGCAAGACGCTCCTCGGGGCGCATCTTGCTTGGGCCTCTCTCCTGGAGGCCCTCTGTCAGCCCCAGTGTTGACATGTGTCAAGACGCTCCTCGGGGCGAGTCTTGCTTGGGCCTCTCTCCTGGAGGTGCTCAGTCAGACCCAGTGTTGACATGTTGCAAGACGCTCTTCGGGGCGCATCTTGCTTGGGCTTCTCTCTTGGAGGCCCTCAGTCAGACCCATTGTTGACATGTGGCAAGACGCTCCTCGGGGCGCGTCTTGCTTGGGCTTCTCTCCTGGAGGCCCTCAGTCAAACCCATTGTTGACATGTGGCAAGACGCTCCTCGGGGCGCGTCTTGCTTGGGCCTCTCTCCTGGAGGCGCTCAGTCAGACCGAGTGCTGACATAAGGCAAGACGCTCCTCGGTGCGCGTCTTGCTGGGGCCTCTCTCCTGGAGGCGCTCAGTCAGACCCAGTGCTTACATGTGGCAAGACGCACCTCGGGGTGTGTCTTGCTGGGGCTTCTCTCCTGGAGGCGTTCAGTCAGACCGAGTGCTGACATGTGGCAAGGAGCTCCTCGGGGCGCGTCTTGCTTGGGCTTCTCTCCTGGAGGCGTTCAGTCAGACCGAGTGCTGACATGTGGTAAGACGCTCCTCGGGGCGCGTCTTGCTGGGGCTTCTCTCCTGGAGGCGCTCAGTCAGACCCAGTGGTGACATGTGACAAGACGCTCCTCGGGGCGCATCTTGCTTGGGCTTCTCTCATGGAGGCCCTCAGTCAGATCCATTGTTGATATGTGGCAAGACGCTCCTCGGGGCGCGTCTTGCTTGGGCCTCTCTCCTGGAGGAGCTCAGTCAGACCGAGTGCTGACATGTGGCAAGACGCTCCTCGGGGCGCGTCTTGCTGGGGCCTCTCTCCTGGAGGCGCTCAGTCAGACCGAGTGCCTACATGTGGCAAGACGCTCCTCGGGGCGCGTCTTGCTTGGGCTTCTCTCCTGGAGGCCCTCAGTCAAACCCATTGTTTACATGTGGCAAGACGCTCCTCGGGGCGCATCTTGCTTGGGCCTCTCTCCTGGAGGCCCTCTGTCAGCCCCAGTGTTGACATGAGTCAAGACGCTCCTCGGGGCGAGTCTTGCTTGGGCCTCTCTCCTGGAGGTGCTCAGTCAGACCCAGTGTTGACATGGTGCAAGAAGCTCCTCGGGGCGCGTCTTGCTTGGGCTTCTCTCTTGGAGGCCCTCAGTCAGACCCATTGTTGACATGTGGCAAGACGCTCCTCGGGGCGCGTCTTGCTTGGGCTTCTCTCCTGGAGGCCCTCAGTCAGACCCATTGTTGACATGTGGCAAGACGCTCCTCGGGGCGCGTCTTGCTTGGGCCTCTCTCCTGGAGGCGCTCAGTCAGACCGAGTGCTGACATAAGGCAAGACGCTCCTCGGTGCGCGTCTTGCTGGGGCCTCTCTCCTGGAGGCGCTCAGTCAGACCCAGTGCTTACATGTGGCAAGACGCACCTCGGGGTGTGTCTTGCTGGGGCTTCTCTCCTGGAGGCGTTCAGTCAGACCGAGTGCTGACATGTGGTAAGACGCTCCTCGGGGCCCGTCTTGCTGGGGCTTCTCTCCTGGAGGCGCTCAGTCAGACCCAGTGGTGACATGTGACAAGACGCTCCTCGGGGCGCGTCTTGCTTGGGCTTCTCTCATGGAGGCCCTCAGTCAGATCCATTGTTGATATGTGGCAAGACGCTCCTCGGGGCGCGTCTTGCTTGGGCCTCTCTCCTGGAGGAGCTCAGTCAGACCGAGTGCTGACATGTGGCAAGACGCTCCTCGGGGC